GGGACTAATATCCTAAAAATCCACAAGCACATTGTTACTCACTTACCACAAAAAATACATAATGAAAACCGGACAAATTTTCAAAACCGACGTTTTTTCAAAATTATTAGCGAAAAACGTCCTCTTTCAAAAGTATTTGTCAAAACCGACCTGGTTTGTCTGTTTTGACGAAAGAAGTTAATTAAATGGCCGCTAAACTTCACGACTGAAACTAGGTTGGTTTTGACAAGTATTTTCAAACGGGATCTTTTTTTGGGAATATTTTGTGAACGAGACTGTTTTAAAAATTTGTCCGATGAAAACCGCATAGGAAAAGTAGAAAAACACTAGAGGGACACCATTGGGCACACTCTCAGCCACACCCCCTCACCCGCTACAGTGCAGGGGGGCCCACATGGGATTTTTAAAAAATCCCATGTGGGGCCCCCTGCACTGTAGCGGGCCCAATAGTGTCCCTCTAGTGCCTCCCGGAAAAGTAAAGAGGTAGCAAAATCTTATAAAATTGCTACATTTGCAAAAGAATATTATTAGAGGCTAATAAACAAAACTCATCTCCTTCATCACCCCACACCATCTCAACACCCCCCCCAAGAAATTTCTTAAAAGCCCAACAAAGCAACAATCCTCTGTCGCGCGCCTTTGCGGAAGCCTTGCACGAACTCACAACGAACCTGTGATCACGAGTAGAAGAAAGACAAACTCTTGCACAAATCCAACCAATAAAGCCAAATCAATCCAAACACAGAGATATACGTGGTTCGGCAATTTGCCTACGTCCACGGGGAGAGGATGGGGAGATTTCACTAAATCAAGGAGAGTACAAAGGGTTACAATCACACAAATTCTCTCAAACTAACCCTCAACCAAAGATCTCACCTTGCTCACAATATCTCCCTCTCACAATGCTCAAAAGATTCATCAATCTCTGATAAAAAACCCTCACAAATCGTTTCCCTATTTATATCAAAACAAAACCCCAATCAGACTGCAAATAGGAAACCTGCGTATGCAAAAAACCCGTCGTAAGTCGACTTAACAGAGCTCACAAGTCGACTTGACAGAGAGAAAATCAACAACTGGAGAACACTTCATAAGTCGACTTAACAGACTGTTAAGTCGACTTGCCATAAGTCGACTTAACAGTCATGCTAAGTCGACTTGACAGATGCTAAAATCACAATTCGGCTGCAGATCGTAAGTCGACTCGTGCACAGTGCATGAGTCGACTTATGCCAGTTTTTCTGGTTTTTCTGATTCTTTTCCTGATTTCTCCACAATTCTCCACCTCGGCGAATTTTGCCAAAAATGAGCCGACACCAAACCAAGAGCATCAATGTGTCGTCTCTCCAAATAACCACCGGAGAGAAAACCTCATTGTAATCAATACCTTCCTCCTGTGCATAGCCCTTCGCAACCAACCTAGCCTTGAACCTCACTGGAGTGCCCTCAATGCCCTCCTTCTTCGTGTACACCCACTTGCACCCAATCGCCTTCCGCCCCTTTGGAAGCTCTACAAGCTCCCATGTATCGTTCTTGTGAAGAGACTCCATCTCCTCCTGCATAGCCACCTGCCACGAATCAGCCTCCGAACTCTGCTCGGCCTCTCTGAATGTAGTAGGCACCATCTCATCGATACTCTCCACCGGAAGTGCATATGCAACTGTGTCGGCATACCGTGCTGGCACCCGTATGTCTCTCCTCTGTCTCCGTGCCGCAATAGAATCCTGAACCTGAGCCGTCGGTCCCTGATCCTGCTCATGAGTACCCGTATCCTCCGCATCACCGTCGTGCTCGCCTGGCGTCACCTCAGTCGGCACTCTCATGGATACTGCACTATCTGGACTCTGTGGAGCTGCATCAATCTCCACCACCTGCGAAATCTCCTCTGTCGGGTTGCTCTCCACCTGATGAGAGCTGGGAAGCTTCAAGATAGAAGCCTCATCGAATGTGACGTCCCTACTCAGCACAATCTTCTTATCAACTGGATCCCAAAGCTTGTATCCCTTGACACCACGCTTGAATCCTACAAATATGGCCTTCCTAGCTCGAGGTTCCAACTTATCAGTTCTAACATGATAATATGCAGGGCAACCAAATACCTTAAGCTGGTCATAGTCATGTGCTGTCTCTCCCGACCACATCTCCATAGGGGTCTTCCCCTCAATCGCAGATGAAGGCAGCCTGTTAATGAGGTGGCTCGCATAAGAAAGTGCCTCAGCCCAAAAGATCTTCTCCAAACCACTATGCGCCAATAAACATCGAATCTTCTCCAGCAAAGACCGATTCAATCTCTCTGCCACCCCATTCTGCTGCGGTGTATGACTAACTGTGAAGTGCCTCTCTATGCCCTCGTCTCGACATAGCTGCAGAAAGGGGTCTGAGGTATACTCGCCGCCGTTGTCGGATCGCAACGTCTTGATCTTTCTCCCAGTCTGCAGTTCCAATCTCTTCTTCCACTCCACAAACAAATCTAGGACTTCACTCTTATGCTTCATGGTGTACACCCAACATCGCCTAGAATAGTCATCAACGAACGTGACGAACCAATGTCGACCACCAAGTGATGCCGTCTTAGTGGGACCCCAAACATCTGTGTGCACGTAGTCCAAGATGCCCCTCGTCCTATGAATGGCCGTCCCGAACTTCACCTTCGTCTTCTTGCCAAGTACACAGTGCTCACAGAATTCTACTTTACCACTCTTGGCTCCCTTCAAAAGCCCCTGCTTGCACAATGCCTGCAGTGACTTTTCACCTGTATGCCCTAGCCTGTAGTGCCAAAGTCTGCTCATGTCCGCCTCTGAAATCGCCGAAGCAACCTGGCCAATCTCGGTGCTCCCCTTCAGATAATATAAATTATGATTTCGGACTCCCTTCATCACCACCAAAGATCCCTTAGTAACCTTTGCTACAGCATCCTCAAAGGTCACCCTGAATCCCTTCGCCTCCAAAGCCCCCACTGAGATAAGATTCTTCTTAAGTTGAGGAACGAATCTCACCTCCTTCAGCTCACGGACTACTCCATCGTGCATCCGAATCCTCACAGTACCTATCCCACGAACGCCACAGGATTGATCATTTCCCATGACCACAACACCCCCATCGAGTCTCTCAAATGATGAGAACCAATCTCGCCTAGGAGTCACATGATAAGTAGCGCCAGAATCAAGCATCCACTCCGATGCATCCAAATGGTTCACCTCCGGAGTAATCAAAAGAGAAAAGCTCGAATCATCGGAATCATCGCCTTTCGCAACATTCACCTCATTGGCCTTCGGGCCCTTATTCTTGCTATTCTCCTTTTCTTTGACTTTCGGGCAATCTCTTTTCCAATGTCCCTGCTCCTTGCAGAATGCACATTGATTCTTTCCAAGCTGGTGACGACCTCTTGACTTTGACCTCCCTCTGTTTCCACCTTTCTGATATGAGCTTCTACCTCTCGCCGACAAGGCCTCTCCTGAAGTACTAGCGCGGGAAGTCTCCTTATCCTTCCTCCTCAAATCATAGTTCGTCAATGCGTTAGTCACTTCACTATAAGTGATAGAAGATCTCCCGTTCAGCAACGTAAGCACGAAGGTATCATACTCCTCATCCGGTAAGGAGCCCAAAAGAATAATAGCCTTGTACTCATCTGTGATCTTCTCATCCACGTTCGCCAAGTCCGACAACAACTTAGTGTAGTTGTTCACATGAGCCGCAAGCGAGGTACCTCTGGACATCTGGAATCTGAATAACCTTCGCAGCAAGTGCAACCGGTTCTCAACACTCTTCGTAAGGTACTTATTGTTGAGAATTTCCCACATCTTCATCGCAGACGTCACCCCAATCACATCGTATTTCAGCTCCTGTTCCAAACAGGACCTGATCACCCCGCAAGCATTTCGATTCATCTTTTCCCATATCGCTTCTTCATACTTAGGTGGCCTCACATCGACCATGATGGTCTCCTCCAGATTTTGAGCATTGAGCGCATCCTGTACGTCGCTCATCCACAAACCAAAATTGATCTTGCCGTCATATTTCACAACACTAATCTTAGTGTTCTGAAAACCCACTTGAACTGTGCCTGTCATCTTGCTGCTTTCACCAATTACTTCACCCATAATCACAACTTCCAAATTGTAGAGAAAGATCCAAACTTTGAAAGAATAAGAAATTACCCAACTGAACCCTAGATTGGATTCCAAATAGAACTCCTAACCACACGAGGAAAGCGAGATCTTCAACGGCAACTTCAAACCCTAACTCCACCAAAGCCTAGAACTCCAAGAACCAAGCTTCAAACTGAATCTTCCTCCACCTAATCCAAAACCCTAGATCTGAATCTGAGCTCTGATACCACTTGTCGCGCGCCTTTGCGGAAGCCTTGCACGAACTCACAACGAACCTGTGATCACGAGTAGAAGAAAGACAAACTCTTGCACAAATCCAACCAATAAAGCCAAATCAATCCAAACACAGAGATATACGTGGTTCGGCAATTTGCCTACGTCCACGGGGAGAGGATGGGGAGATTTCACTAAATCAAGGAGAGTACAAAGGGTTACAATCACACAAATTCTCTCAAACTAACCCTCAACCAAAGATCTCACCTTGCTCACAATATCTCCCTCTCACAATGCTCAAAAGATTCATCAATCTCTGATAAAAAACCCTCACAAATCGTTTCCCTATTTATATCAAAACAAAACCCCAATCAGACTGCAAATAGGAAACCTGCGTATGCAAAAAACCCGTCGTAAGTCGACTTAACAGAGCTCACAAGTCGACTTGACAGAGAGAAAATCAACAACTGGAGAACACTTCATAAGTCGACTTAACAGACTGTTAAGTCGACTTGCCATAAGTCGACTTAACAGTCATGCTAAGTCGACTTGACAGATGCTAAAATCACAATTCGGCTGCAGATCGTAAGTCGACTCGTGCACAGTGCATGAGTCGACTTATGCCAGTTTTTCTGGTTTTTCTGATTCTTTTCCTGATTTCTCCACATCCTCAACCTCAATATAAACCAAGCTCCCTCCCTCCTCTCTCTCTCTCTCCTCTCTCTCTCTCTCTTAACGCGTCCTCCAGTTTCTTCCATTTTCTCGCTCTCTCTCTATAGAGCCAAAAGCTCAATGGGCCGCTACATGAGGAAGACCAAAAGCGGTGAGATCGCAGTAATGGAGCTCAGCAGCCCGCAGTCAGCCGTCGGGGTCCGAACCCGGGCGAAAACCCTAGCCCTCCAGCGCCTTCAGAGCGACTCCTCGTCTTATCTCGAGCTCAGAAGTCGCCGCCTCGAGAAGCCCAAGGAATTGTGCAGGGAAAGCCCTAATAAATCCAAGTCAGCGGTGTCTAGCCCTAGCTCGAACGGGGAAGAGGTCGAAGCTTCGTTTGGGGAGAATTTTCTCGATTTTGACCCGGCAAGGTGCGATTTTTCTCTCGTAGTCTTGGGCCTTGGGAGGTTTCTGGAGATGGGTTTTCCTTAGTTTGTCGATTTGTGGAGGAAATTTCGCTCCTCTTTAGAGCTGTAGAGTTTTAGAGCCGGTTCTTTGCGAATTCTTGGAGCTTCATGCCCGTTTGCTGTTACGTTAGTGTGATTAACATTTTTTTGGGTCTCGTTGGGATTTTGAAACGCGCCTCTTTTTTGTCTGTATAATTTGTGAAGGTTTTTGGTTAATTTATGTTTTTTTTCGAAGTTTTTGGAAATGGGTTTTTGTTAGTTTGATTATTTCTGGTGGAAATTTGTGACAGTTTTTGGTTTTTTATTTGTCTGTAAGTTGGAAAATGTTGTTTTCTAAATCTTAGTTTGGTATTTCTGAGTTCTTTCTCTATTGATATTTCGTTTTCGAGGTTGAAAAAAAAATCTTTTCTTTCCTTCTCATTTCAATTATTTTTTTCTATTTCCATTATTTCAGTTGTCTGAGTCCTCTTCCTAAAACCGAGCACTTCAAATTCATTTATAGCCGGTATCTTTTTATTGTATTATTATTATTTCTTAGGGGCAGTTATAATAAAAAGAGGCCATTTGCAGTTTTTTTTCCCCCCCTTTTTTCACTTCCCCCACTGCTATCAGTTGATTCTTCTGATGAATTGTACGGTTTGCACCGACCTTTGAACACCATCTTCATTTCAATATTGAAATCTTGCTCTATTTCAGTGGTGTGATTTCTTGTAGGACCTCCTGCTTTGATGCTCATTTATTCCTGCTAGCGGGTTTCTTTGCATCTAACAATATCTGAACTCAATGCTTGTCTGCTCTTTTAGTTCAGTCTGAGGATTAGTCAGTGCTTCACTCCAGTGACATCTCATCATTTTTAAATGATCATTAGTTGTGTGGTTCTACTTCTTGGCATATTGTATGATCTCCGCAATAAAATGTTCTGGCTGAAGTTTAAATATAATTCACTAGGCCTCAGCTCAGTGATCTTAATCTAGTTGAAAGATTATCCTGCTAACTTATTTGCTATCCTGCTAACTTATTTGCTAGTGTTAGTTCCCCGTACCTTAGAGTTTTGATGCATAAGTATAAATTTCAACCGGATAAGTCGCTGTTTTTGTTGATGAAGCAATGGCGAAGCGTTTCACGGTTCTTGTGACAATATTTTTGGCATGTTGATTCTTTACATTCCCCCGACACCGTCTAGCTGGTGCCGTATGCTAATTATTGTGACATTTGTGTAGTTGAACAGTATGTTGCTCAGTTTCTTTTGGAGTGTTGTGGTATTATTTCTTCCTCCAAAAAAAAAAAAAAAAAAAACGGGTTTTTTTTTTTCCCCCAAAAAAAAAAAAAAAAAAATCAGAGTCGGGCCATGCATGCTCTAAATTTGTTTGCATCTTATTTTACCATGCTTTATCGACCGAGGATGAGGTTTTGAAGAAATTTTCAAAACAACATCAAACCATGTTTTAATTTTCAAAACCGACCCACTTTTTTTCTTACCAAAATCGACTCACTTTTTGCCATTCGTCGAGTGACAGTATCGTCGGGTCAGGGTTGCTTGCCAGTTATGTTGTCTGCGTTATTTAATCTTTGGGAGTCTTCTTTAAGTGTTTTGGTTTCCTCATGTGACTAATCTTTGGGCGAAAAAAATCGTATAGGAATTTCTCGGTATCGTTTTTAAATCAGTGCATCAACATTGTGTGCCGATGCAATTAGAATACAGTGCAATCATCCATCGATTTTGAAATCTGTTCTAGGACACATCGTGGTCTTCTTCCTCCCTATGTGATTTTCTGTAGGGGACTGTATAGGATTTCCCGCATATTTTCGCTACGAGCAGACTCATTCTTTAGGTTAAGATTTTTCTAAATTTGCTCAGGTGAATATCTTTGTTATGATCCTTCTGTTGTTCTCTTTTTGTTTATCACTGCATTTGTTTTAGGATTAAAAAAAGAAAAAAAAACATTTACTGGTAGGTTATTCTTATATATCTTTTTATGTGACTGCAGCGTAGTTTGGCTGCTGGTAGATATTTGCTACTGAGAGGTGATCAAATTGATGGCTTGATGTGGCTTATAACTTAATTGCAGGAACATTAGGGAAACAACACCTTGCAGTTTGATTAGGGATCCTGACTCAATACCAACTCCTGGCTCTACGACGAAGAAATCCAATAAAAGTAGTAATCGCCGAAGAACTCACAACTCAATTCACCAAAATATCCCGAACACCCACGAGATGGAGGAGTTCTTTGCTTGTGCCGAGAGATTTCAACAGACAATATTTACCGAAAAGTATATCTCTTCTCCATTATTTCACGGTTAAAAACTATCTTTCTTATTTCCTGAAACTCTTATCATTATCTCATGTTTTGTTTGTGTTACTTGGTTCAGGTACAATTACGATCCTGTGAATGACTGCCCTCTCCCTGGTCGATATGAGTGGGTAAAAGTGGAGTAAAGAAGCGTGTAATGATCTGTAAACGTACAGAATTCATGAGTTACACCTAGAATTCAAGAAGACGATTAACCGATAAATTCAAGTGTATCTCTAACAGATCATTGTAGGTGGGGTGGGGGTTAGATAGCGTCGAGGGGGGTAATTAACTTGTTCAATTTTGCTGATGTAACTCCATGCTAAGTTTATGTTTCAGTTAATGTATTGTGGGAAATAAAATGTCGCTTTTGCTCTGTGTTTTCAGATTCATCCTTTTTCCCCCCTCTCTCTCCTTGCGAAGAATGTTTAATTCATTTCAATCCAAGTTTGTGATTTAAAAAAAAAAACTTAAAAAAAATATGAAATTCATATTATGTTCAGTTCTAACATTGCCTAGAGATTCATTAATCTTACAATCCAGGCCACAAGGTTAGCAACTAGATTATGCTGATACATATTTAAGAAAGGATTTCAAACCATCAGAAGTCCACGGAGCGATTACATATGCTCAACTCTGTAGTTATTATAATGCGCTTCCAAAGTAGCTCACATAGTTTAAGTCATAGTCATTGATTTGTATATCGTATCCTGCACATCATCAACAAAAGAGAAACAAGCAACTCTCCAAGACTTCTTGAAAAACAAAGCACCCCAAAATCCCCAAGATCCAACTACAAATCCTGCTGCCGTGCACACAAATACCCCTTTGATCATCTCAGCATCATCATCATCATCATCATTTTTATCCTCATCAATGCCGCGGGGTTCTCCGGTCTCATCACCTGAACAATTTTTCGTCAGTGGTGCTCCACAGAGGCCAGGGTTGCCGATATAAGATTGATTACCGAGTGTTTGGAGCTGAGGACCTGACGGGATTCTGCCGGACAAATTGTTGTGCGCAAAGCTTAGAGAACTCAGAGTGGTTATACCCGAGATGCTGGGCGGGATTCTACCCAAAAGCTGATTTCGTGATAAATCCAGAGATTCTAACCAGTGCAAGTCGCCGATTTTTCCAGGTATTTTACCTGTCAATTGATTCCCTGACAGGTTGAGAAAAATCAATCCAGAGAGAGTTGTGATGCCTTCAGGGATGTCCAGAGTGAGTTTATTGTTTGAGAGATCGATCGCCACTACAAGTGGAATTAAACGGTGAAATTCAAGCTCTCTATTTTTGGAAGACACTGGGACGGTTTCCTCGTATCTGAAGTCAGGGAACCTGTACGGCTTGTACAAGTTCCCCATTGTCGTTTCTCTTTTAGTCATTGCCGTGAGATTGCTGAGATTCGTAGGAATTTTTCCCGCAAGGTTGTTGTTTGCAAGATCCAAGAGTTGGAGGGAAACAAGCTCGCATAATTGTTGAGGAATGCTGCCGCTGAACTCGTTGGAGCTTAGGCGAAGGACCTTCAGTGCTGGAAACCTTGCGTCAAGCCATGACGGAATATTTCCATGGAAGCGGTTATCCCCGAGATCAAGAATTGCAAGTTTCTCGCAATTTCTCAGCGATAACGGGATTTCTCCTGTGAAATTGTTACCGTTGAGGTGCAGGGACAATAGAGAAGTCAGATGGCCTAGTGAGCTCGGTATCTCTCCTGACAGGCTATTGTTTGCGAGGTTCAGCACTTTCAAAACTTTCATTTGCCTCCAACATTTAGGCAAATACCCAGATAAGTGATTGTTTGAGATATCCAAATATTCTGTCAGAATCATGTTACAGAAGAAAGGAGGGATATTTCCGTGGAAATGATTGTCAGAAAGAAGCAAATATCGGATGCATGGCAAGCCTGTGAGATTCTTTCGGTCATCTGACACAATACCTGTCAACTTATTTGTGTGAAGGAACAATGTTCTGAGAGTCTTAAGCTTCCATATTTCATCCGGGATTGAACCAGAAAGAGCGTTATCTTCTAAACTCAATTCTAACACGTTACTCAAGTTTCCGATTTCAGGAGGAATTGAACCTGAAAGATTGTTACTATAAAGATACAGATACTGCAATTTCGTTGCCAATCCAATCTCAGCGGGAATCGTTCCGTAGAACGAATTGTTCTGCACCTGAAACGAAACTAGACCATGCCAGTTCCTGAACAAGTCTGCGGGTATCTCTCCAGACAACAAATTGCTCGATATCCCAAAATCCGTCACTTTTGTCAGGTTCGAAAAAGACGAAGGTAAGCCACCGGTGAGATAATTCAGTGAAAGTTCTATATTTTGGAGATTAATACAGAAACCAAGTTCAGGAGGTATAGTTGAGTTGAGTTCAGATAATTTAATATCAATCCTTTCCAGGTTCTTCAACTGGCCTATCGAAGAGGGAATCGCTCCTCCAAACGAATTGTTGCCAATTTCAAGCATTCGGAGACTGGTCAACGATCCAATCTCTGATGGTAGTCCTCCAGTGAAGTTGTTGTTACTGATCCGAATCTCTCGTAGGCTCGATAACTTCGTTAAGGAAACTGGAATTGGTCCTTGCAAAAAATTATTCGTCAGGTTCAGATACTCTAGATTAACCAAATTTGTCACTGATTCAGGTATCGGACCTGTCAGCAAGTTAAATGACAGGTCGAGAAACATCAAGTTCGTGCAATTCAGCACGAAAGGAGGAAACCCGAGAGTGAGATTATTTTCAGAGAGGGAAAGATAGGTGAGTGAAGGCAAAGGGACAAGCCTGTCGTAGTCTGGATTTTCCAAATAGTTTACGCTGAGGTCAAGATACCGTACCTTTCGAAGATTACTTATCTGATACGGGATTTCTCCGACTAAGTTGTTGATGTTTAAACGGAGGTCAATGATCTCCGAAAGCTCACCAATTTCAGGTGGCAGAGAGTGATCAAAGTTATTGCGGCCGAGGTCTAATGAGGTGAGCTTGGACAATGCCGAAATGTTTGCAGGAATGGAGCCGTATAAGAGGTTGGAGCTGAGATTGAGGAGGGTGAGGTTGGGGAGTGAGGAGAAGTTGAATTCGTAGAGAGTGCCATTGAGGTTTGCGTCGGGCAGACTGAGCTCCACGACACTGCCAGCACCGTCACAGGTAACGCCGAGCCATCTACAGGGTGTTAAGTTGTTCAGGGACCAGTCTTTGAGAGATTCGGGTGTTAGTAAACTGTTCTTCCATTTAAGGAGAGCTTCTCCCTCTGTTTGAGCTTTGGTTTGAGTACAGGTGAGAATGAGAGAGAAGAAGAGGAGACCGAAGAGTGTTTCCATGAGGGCACCAAAAGAACAAATAAAGATTTTGTTCTTTTGGTTTTACAGGGAGAATTCAGAAGGAAAAAAAAATTATGTTTGGCTATGCATAGACTGGTTAGAATATAATTGGTCTTATCAAGTTATGTTCATGTAAACTGTTGTGAATGAAAACCCTTATTCATTATGAGATCTCTTGGGCTTTATATAGGTCCTTACACAAGTTACAAATAAGTCCCTAACTAATACTAATATATCAACACTCCTCCTCAAGATGGGCGAAAGATATCTACTAAGCTCATCTTGTCACATCCTCTAATCATATCTACTGAGCTAAGTCCTTTAGTCAGACAATCTGCTGCCTGGTCCTTAGTCGAAACATGACTTAGCTCCAGTAGTCCACTATCCAACTTCTCTTTGATGAAGAACCTATCGATCTCGATGTGTTTGGTTCTATCATGCTGCACCGGGTTGTTGGAGATACTGATGGCTGACTTGTTGTCACACCACAACTTCATCTTAGCTCCTTGATCCAGCTTCAGCTCTACCAGCATACTCTTTAACCATAGCAACTCAACAACTCCTAAGGCCATAGCTCTATACTCTGCCTCAGCCGTCGATCTCGCCACCACCGACTGCTTCTTGCTCTTCCACGAGACTAAGTTACCTCCTATAAAGATGCAGTATCCTGAGGTGGACCTCCTGTCATCAGCACAGCTAGCCCAATCAGAGTCACAATAGCCCTCAATGCTCATGTGTTCATTCTTCCTGAAGATTAGCCCTTTTCCGGGGGCATTCTTCAAATACCTTAGAATCTGGTACACTGCGTCCATATGACCCTTCCTTGGATCATGCATGTAACGACTCACCACGCTTACTACAAAAGAGATATCGGGACGTGTGTGACACAGATAGATCAACCTGCCCACCAGCCTTTGGTATCTGTCACGATCAACTGGTTCTCCAGCTTCAGCACCCAGCTTAAACTTCTGGTCGATCGGTGTAGTTGCAGGTTTGCATCCTAACATTCCTGTTTCTTTGAGAAGATCCAGTGCATACTTTCTCTGGGATAGGACGATCCCCTCCGCTCCTCGAGCTATCTCTATTCCAAGAAAGTATCTAAGCAAGCCAAGATCTTTCACCTCAAATTCCTTACCCAGTCTCACTTTGAGTTGGGCAATCTCCTTCTCATCATCCCCTGTAATAATCATATCATCCACATATACCGCAAGCATAGTAATGTGGCCTCCACTCCGTCGAAAGAACACTGTATGGTCGGCGTTGATCTGTTGGTATCCCATACCAATCATAGCCCTTCTGAATCTCAAACCAAGCACGAGGAGACTGCTTTAGCCCATAGAGAGACTTTTTCAATCTGCAGACCTTTCCCACTGTCTGATCTGTACCGAATCCTGGTGGTATCTCCATGTATACTTCCTCCACTAGATCTCCATGAAGGAATGCGTTCTTCACATCTAGTTGGTGTAGCTTCCATCCGCCATTTACTGCCAGAGAGATTAAGGTCCGAACAATACCCATCTTTGCTACCGGTGCAAAAGTCTCATCGTAGTCGATGCCATATGTCTGACTATATCCTTTTGCCACCAAACGTGCTTTGTAGCGCTCAACCTGTCCATCTGGATTCTGCTTCACAGTGAAGACCCACTTGCATCCAACTGCTCTCTTCCCTTTTGGTAGTTTTACTAACTCCCAAGTGCGGTTCTTCTCAAGGGCCCTTAGCTCTTCGTGCATAGCAGCTTTCCATTTCTGGTCCTTCTTTGCAACCTGCCAATTGTTAGGTATAGTAACAGAGTCCAGTGATGCAATGAATGCTCCATGTGCAGGGTGGATGTTAGAATATGATACAAACTGAGCAAGATCCCAACCATATCTATCGGGAGGATTTCCCGCATTACTGCGAGTAGTCCTCCGTACGGTTATTGGTGTGGGATGAGTAGGAAGAGGAATGGAATCACATTGAGAGGAATCTGGTGGTGTAGGTGTCTCAGGAGTCGGGGCAGGCGTTGGCAAGGGACTTGGCACCAGTGGCACTGTAGGTACTGTTCCCGCAATTTGTTTCCCCTTCCTACTATAGGTAAGTAGTTCCCCCTGAGCCGTTGGTCTAACACCTCTTGTCTCATTCTCCTCTTCTTCTTCATTCTCTTGCTCCTCCTCAACCAAGTCTCCTTCCCAAGGAATCGTTACGGATATTGATTTTTCTGATCTCTCACCATTCTTAGATTTTGATTTCTCCATATTTACCATTCTCTCACCATTCTCCTCCTCTCGCCTCATACTTCCAGTATTAGGCGAGTTACCAACGGATGAAGTTACCTTTCGGGTGTACTATGGCTCGAGTTCTCAGAAGTGCACGTCCATGCTCACAAACAACCTTTTCTCCACCGGGCTCCAGCAAACATATCCATTCTGGGTAGCAGAATATCCTACAAAGATGCATTTCACAGTTCTAGGGGCAAGTTTCCCGACAGATGGCCTGTTGTGCTTCACAAAGCACACACAGCCAAACACTTTAAGTGGAAGAATCCCACCATTATCTCCCTTCAATGTCTCACACGGAGACTTCCAATCCAACACTCTCGAGGGCATTCTGTTGATCAGCGCTGCTGCGGTCAACACTGCTTGCCCCCACAATGTTTTTGGGACATTCATAGAGATCATCATGCTTCTAGCAACCTCTAAAAGATGTCTGTTCTTCGATGATTCGAAACCCTAAGTCAACACAATGTGACGGAGGTAGTTCAAGGTCAACTCAATGACACGAGCCAAACTCAATTCATCAGCTGCAGACTCGAGACTCCGACGACGGCCAAGCGATAAACGCAGCGCCGGAAGAACTTCGGCTATTCGTCAAAGCATCGAATAGACCGAAAATCGAAGGAGCCAAGAGTTGAAGCTAACTACAGGTCTTTACGCCGACTGAAGGTTAGACCAATCACATCCAAAGTATTCCAGCCTCTTCTATAAAAGAAACGAGTCCGGAACGCTTTGGAGGGGGTATCTGTAGGCATCGAAAATTGCCTATAGGTCTCCACGAACGGTTCAGTGTTAAAGAGCGACGATGAACGTCACTATCCGATCCACAGGAGTTCAATTGACGTCGATGAACGATTGAAGTGAATCGACGAACTACGTGAGCTGATAGGACTTCTGAACAACGAAGACCCGGGCCAATCGGAAACCCGACGATGTTCACAAAAAAGGACAACGCCCTTCGAGTCTCGTTCATTCGACAGATAATCCAACCATCGGAGCAGATAGAACTCTTCGTCAAGCTTCCAACGCACTTGGAATCACTCAAATCCGAGTTCGGACGAAGAATTTACGATCTGGAATTTTGGAGAGAAAGAGGCGAAGCCCTGCTGCAGTGAAGAGTGATCGAGCACTTCAGGGGAATTCTTCATCAGATCTTCATCACCCGTGTGTCCGTTCCTTAGTATTAGCCCTTGGCGTTAATACTAAGAAGAATTAATATCTCGCTTTAGCCGAGATAGACGCTTCAAAGCTTCTAGATCTCTCGCGGATCGACGAAGCTCTGTCCGATTTTTCTGGATCAGAAGTTCCTAGATCCCCTCGCGGATTGACGAAGCTCTGTCTGATTGATCCGGACCAGATCTGATTGCCAGGTAGTCCACGGATATCAACGTCCCCGTCACAGGCCAAAGACCCACGCAAGCAAGAGACCGCAAAACAGGATCTTGTGTTTATTTTCGAAAAGTTGTAATTTTTATTCTTTGTTATTTGAATTCATTTGTAACGATTGAAGTTTAATGAAATCAATGATGAAGGCAACTTTTTCCGAAAACAAACTGGCGACCACAGTGGGAGCCAACGGTATCGCTACCGACGCCGTCGTGACGCAACCAGCATTCAAGATCCGGGTGAATGAAGAGATCGAATACGAGTTCGATCAGCACAAGTTCGAAGAGGACCTCGCATTCAAGATCCGGGTGAATGAAGAGATCGAATACGAGTTCGATCAGCACAAGTTCGAAGAGGACCTCTTCTCCTCCTCCTCCAGATCCGCCTCTCCGAACAGGCGCAGAAAGGTAACTTCTTCCAGAAATGTTCGCAGGACCTTCGGCTCGAAGATCCAAGACCCCATTGCCGCCGCTGCACTTGCACCACGTGACGTCCCCGCGTCGTCCAACGTGGTCGAGACCGCAGTCTTCGATGAGAAACAAAAGGGCGGAGAGTCGGTGGATACCTTCATCAAACGCTTCCGCAATCAGGCAATGAACTGCAGGGATCCCGTCACGGAGGAATTCCTGTTGACGTCAATCAAACGTCACAACACCAATCCCGAAGACAACAGAAGAATTCGGATCCAAGGCTCCAAAACGAGTACTCGTTCAAAGACGAAGACGTTCCAGCCATCTTTGAGACCCTTCTTGAAAACAACAAGATCAAGCTGCCACCCATCATGAATCAGGAGGAAGCTGACAATACTGCAGACCCAAAGTACTGTGCATACCACAGGAGGGTCGTTCATCCCACCGAGGATTGCTTTGCTCTCAAGAATAGCATTCAGACATTGGTTGAAGCCGGCGTTATAACGCTAGGGTAAGCCAATTGAGCACGGCAAAACTCCGAAGAGTATACGAGTATAAACTGCTTCTCAACACTCCGATAAGTATAAGAGTATAAACTGCTTCTTAAGACTCCAAAGAGTATACGAGTATAAACTGTTTCTCAAACCTCCGACCGGTATAAGAGGTTAAACTGCTCCCTGATACTCCAATAGGTATATGAGTCTAAACTATTTCCTACCATTGACGGGAAGTTCCTGGAGGATATTACGCTAATATTCTTAAGGATAACCCGGTCAGATAACAAAGTCAAACCCAGTTCCAAGAGAGAAGCTGGGGGTGGATAATCTAATGCATCGGGAAGTTCCTGGAAGAATACCACATGGGTATTCTTAGGGATAACCCAATCATTGAAGAATTAATGGATAAGAAATTCACGTTCGAACTCTGAAGGTCAGAATGTCTCTTCTTATTCTTACTAAAATTCTCTAACTCTTATGAGTCAT